TCACACACCTAGTAAATGGCAAACCTGATGCTATTAGAACTGCTACTCTTGTTTGCCTTTATCCTCAGCCTGGTGAGTGTGGAAGCTGGGGCATGGCAGTTTGTTTCAATCTTTTGTCTGTAGTTAGTGTTGGCTAACTAAGAATGTGGGACCCCTTGGTCAAAGATGGCAAAGTGCCATTAAAGATATTAAATATAAAGATTTTACATTTGATCTTAGCCAAAGTGATAAAATGTAAAGATTTTCCTCTTTTCTGTTGTTAATCTCTTAATTCGTCATGGTGTTTTCAACTTGCTATTTAATGTCTTCTTGGAAAACAGAAAAAGACAAAATTCTAGGCTTTCATTTTACCATTCTTTATATTGTGCAATACCAGTCTTAAATGTAAATATAGGTTAACTTTTGTTTGTGGAATCACTGAATGCACATAAGTTGTACTTTATGCTTTGTATGTGCGTATATATTTTGTTCTTAAGAGCAGAGGAAACCCTCTATTGTTTTTACTTTCCACTGCTGCTGTGCACATATATTACCAACTCTCTGCCTCCTCTGCTGAGTGAGGAAAGGCTGAAAGGAAAAAAGAGCTAAAGACTGTCCTCTTTCCCTTTTCTTTGGTGTCATCATTTTCAACGTATATTTATGATGGTTGTTTTTTAGGACTTCATTGCCTCTTCCTGCATTCCAAGTAGTTCTGGTTTCAAAGAAAAGTGTGGTTGGTCACTTAGGGTTGTCAGCACCCACTACACTCACATCACACTCAGCCGAAGTGGAGACAAGTTTACCTTACATACTTTGAGTCTCCTAAACTCATGGTTTCACCAGAATGTTATGCTCAGGAGGCATCAGAAGTAATAAAAATGCATGGGAATAAACAGTAAGCGCTAATTGCACAGAATCACCTCTGTTCATGTGCATGCCCTTCGTTCCATGAGTCTTCATTGACAAAATACAAACTTCAGTGACAAAGAACAAAAGATAAAATTAAGAATTTCAAGAAATCCATATCAGAGCCTTAAACCAAGCATAAAGCCCCTCTGAGCATGAGGTCCAGTGCAACCTTACGGTTGCAGGTCATCACCATGTTCCTCTTCCTGTTTCCTCCCCAGCCTTTTCCAAAGTCAATGTCCATGTATGAACTACTCATTAACCACTCTAAGTGTGTTCCTCAGATGCTTTCATCAGAATCAGGAGTGCAGAATCTTGTATTCATTGCCAGACCTTAGAACTGAAATGTCAGGGGAAGTCTGACCCTAGAAACTGTCTTGAACAAGTAGTCCAAATGCACGTATGTTGCTAAGTTTAAGAGCGTCTACTTAGGAGCTCGGAAGAATGAGATTTTTTTGCTTTTTTTTTTTTCCCTCAGGACAGGGTAGATCAGTCAACCTTTCATGAATGTTGGAGAAATGACTGAATCCAAAGCACAAGGCTAAAGTATTTTCCCCAGCTGAGGATTTGTGGGATTGCTCTCTTTAGGCCTGATATTCAGTAGGTAAGCACTGATAAGGGTGTAAAGTTGTTAAAATAGTAAAATTCTTCCACAGGGGTTGGTAAATACCTATTGCTTTGACCTCTGACCTCCACCTCCCAGTGCTATTCCATACTGCATTTCACTAGGCCTCTCTCCTTGGACTGCCTCTTGCTCCAGCAATGAAAGGGTTAACCCCTCATCTAGCAGGGGTGTCTCATTGATTCTCATTGGTCTGTATAGGTGACAATTGGTCCTCACATGTCCAATCACTGTGTGGGTTGTGCTGGCTCCTGGTGAGGCTTGTACTCCACCTGTGCCACTACCTAGTGGAAGAGTAGTGCTGGGGATGGGGAGGACCCTGACTAGATGGTACCCCAGGCCATAAGGGTGGAGTCCTAATGGGTAACATGCCATTCTTGATGGTTGGGCTGGCGTCCTAGCAGCCAAATGCCCTGGGGTGATGGCTACCACCAGCTGAGGTACCCCTTGAAATGGTTGCTTCTGATAACTGCAGCTTCCTTGGGACTTTGAGCTGAGAGATCCTGAAGGAGACTGGGTGAGCATGAGGTATGCAGGAATTTCAGTCCATAGCACAGGACTCTGTATATGCTAAGGAACAGAGCCTGCTTGGCATAGTTGCTACATGCAGGGGTATTTGTGGGATTGGAAGAATTATGGGGAAACAGGTTTCTTTTTCATTTATTTGGTCAAGCTTGCTAAAATTTCTGAATGCCCACCAGTATGGCCTTAGCCACATTTCACTAATAAAAATGAGGGCAAGTGCCAAGTATAATTCTTAACTCACTCGAGTTACTTCCGCATTACGTAGGTGAGGAAACTGAGATGCAGAGGTTTTAAAAATCAAGTAGCAGAGCTGAGATTCCAACTCAGAGAGCCTAATATATATTAGAGTCCACACTCATGAATACCACCTCCCTTTAATTTACATTAAAAACAATTGTGTATGTGTGTGAGAAACAGACTTACTTGGTAATAGAGATCTGGAATCTATAAGTACATGTCTGTAATACAATTTGAAAGTGCTGTCAGTTCAGCAGATGGTGAGAGAGGAGTGAGCACCATGAACAGTACTGCTGATGTTCAGAGAAATGATTCACTTACGGAGATTCTAAGCACGCAAATGATTATCAAGTAGTTGGGGAAGTCATTGGAAGTTTGATGTGTGTTCCCATGTCCAACTATGGCCCAAAAAAGTTATTGTTTAGCTAGTGACTGCATAGCAAGCAAGAGGTCAGCAATAATTTTTAAAGAGCAACAAGTGATTTGGATATTACTAGAAACTGATAAACTACTTGCATTGAAGCTCATATATATGTATACATGTTTCTGTTTAGAGAATACTGGGAGGTAAATGTTAAACATTTATATGGTGATTAACTATCTGAGGGTTTTTAAATATTTTGATTATTGGTTAGTCTTTGCTTATTAATTCTCCATTCTATCCCTTTGCTTCCTACTTATAAGCTGGGGAAAAAATAGATCGGTTCTCAAACTGAGGTCTGTATGTCAAGCTGGGTCCTTTTTCTGCCTCCAGTTAGCCCTTGTCTGGCTTATGCATTCTCTCTGAAGGAGAAAGTGGTAGATAGATAGCTGCGCTAAGTGGGAAAGGCTGTCCTGGTAATTGAGTGGGAATGTGGGCACGGAGGCTGTTCCTTAGCAGGCTATTGCTTCCTTCCGTAAACCCAGGTAATTGAGCTGTCATATTAAAGTTTTATTGGTTAAGATTCAAGTTAGGACTGGAACCCATCTTTTGCAGTTCCTTCAGGGCTGTATATGCAAAAGAACAAATAAAAAACTAAGTTGTGAGTTCTGAATAAGGCTGTGAGAAACATTCCTCAGTCCCTGTGGGCTCAAGGAACACTAAAGGAAAGGGGCGGGGGGTGTGTCAGCAGTGTTTAAACACTGAACAGAAAGAAAACACAAAGATCTTCCATTTAGTGTGGTGAAACCAGCTCAGAAGTATGTGACAATCCAGGCAAAGCATTACAATTTCTAGCCAGTCCAGTCATGACTCTCTGGCAAACTGCACAGTCATGGCTATCATGCATTGGGCTGAGAGGTGCTATATAAATGTCAGATGTTACATAAATGTCAGGAATGATTATTGTTTGTTAATGGGGGCTAAACTGTTCCCAAGCAAAGTCTAGTTCCCAGCCAAGGTGTCCTTAGTAGAGGTTCTAACCACCAGTAACCTATGAGAAGGGCATGCTTGCTCCTGGTTCTAGAACAGAGCAAGGTAGGATTTAGGGTTTGAAAACAGGATGGTGCCAGTGCTATACTTCATCAAGTGATCTCGGGTCAGCCCCCCTAACCTTCTGGAGTCTGCATTAGCTCATCTGTAAGACCGGGATAATCACCACCCACCTTCTTCTCCTTGTGCTGGGTTGTGAGAACCAAGGGAGATCACCTGGGTGTGAGTGCTTTGTAAGGTGTGAGCTGCTGCAAGGCTGACAGTGACCTTTTGGGATGGGCTGGAATTTAGCCTATACCTTGCCTTTGAGTCTTACTCACAGGGAGACCATCTGAAAGGAAATTAAGCAGAGGATGCTGATGAGGACTGGAGGATGCTGAAAACGCCAGATTCCTTCTCTCACAGAGCTGTGAGGACATTTACTGCAGACCAGGCCCCCGGATGCGGCATTCCGACTCTGGCTCTGCCACTTGCCAACCTGTGAGCTCCGGGAGAGTACAGATGAGGATCTGCAAGTGATCGCCAAGGGTCCTTCCGGCTATGAGGCTGAATCTAAATCAGGCTCATCACTTGGCTCTAGCTGTGATTCACCGTTCGCCTCCAGGAACAACTCTCAGTTTCTCAGGCGCACAAAACGGGGGACTTGGAAAGAGTGGGGGCTCTGTATTACCCCTGAATGTGCACAGTAATGAAGTTATTCCTTGGCAGTTGAGGTGGGGTAGCGGGAGGTGAGAAGCGTTGTCGAGTGAGTGATCTGAGAAGCCAGGATGCAGGAACACTGTAATGAGGTCATGACTGCCGCAGGGGAAAAGGAGCTGGACATCTGCTGGTGGGGGGAGGGAGGCGCGTTCGGAATTTCTATTTGCAGAAGTCTCTTCCCGCACCCTTACAGGACACCCCCCCAACCTCTTCCCTGTCCTCCATCACTACACCTCCAAACACAACCAGGCCCTCTTCCAGCAGAGCCCGTGTCCGTGCCTCCTCCGTGGTCCTGTCTGAAACCATGAGGATTGTTTCCAAGCTGACTCACACCACTAATGTCAGGGAGCCGTGTCACAAGGCGCTGGGCTCTGCAAGCTGTTGCTTGCGCGGTCGCCGGCGCCGCCACCGCTCTGGGGCGCGCGCAGCAGGGTCCGCTGAAGGGGCGGGGGCTGGGCGGGGCGGAGCCCGCCCCCTCGGCGAGCCGGCCCCGCCCCTCCATCCCTCCCCCGCGGACCGCAATGATTTAGAAGTTCAGGAATCCCACGTGACGTCACCGGGGGGGTGATGTAATGCACTCTAAATAGAATGTATTGTAATCTTTGCTCAGTCCAACGTGGTCCCTTCACCCGGGCTCCGCTCTTGCCTGCTCCACACTTGTTTGGTAAGTTCCTAAAAATACGGCCGGGTCACTTCTGGGGCTTTTGCATTTAGCCACTTTTGTTGCACTTGCCACGGGAGCCATCTCGGGAGCGTCCTCGTTTGCAGGGGTTGGTTCTCGGCAGCTGCCGCGCGGTTCCTTGGTCCAGTGGGCAGGTTCCAGGGCAAGGAGTAGGGAAGATGCGATGCATTTTTTTTGGAGGGTGATCTGTGTTTGTAAACACTTTGGTGGACCAGAGGGAAGTCCGACCTCAGTTGCTGGTGGACTGTGGAATTCGGCTGTGTCCTGAGGCCACCCCAGAGACCCCTCGCCGTGTCCGTCCCGGAGCGCGTCTCGGCGGCCGCCGGCCGTGCGGCAGGAGGGATGCTAACGTGGAGCGAGCGCCGTGTCCGCCCCGGCGTGCGTGCGTGTGTAGGAGCGCGCGTGTGGCTCCCTGACACGGGAAACAGTTATGAATCGGGGGTGTGTGTTTGCCTCCAGAGACCTGGCAAGGTGCGGAACCCTCCAGAAGTGCAGTCAAGCGTCGGCAGCAGCTGTGGCGGCGGAGACGGCGAGCCGGGATCCTCCCCCGCGCGTCCCCAACTTCCCAGTGATGCGGCGGAGCCCCCGGAGAAAGTTTGCAAACTTCCAGCGGCCGCGGCGAGGACGCCGGGTCACCTAGGGGACGGGCGGGCAGGCGAGCGCGCGGGGCTCGCTCCTTCCCGGGTGCCGACCCTGCTGCGGCCGCCTGTCCTGCAGGGGTCCTGCCATTGCTGGTGGCGCGCGCCCGGGGGGGTGGACGTCGCCCTTGGAAGGCACTTGACTTTCGCTCCAGGGACTGCAGGCGCGAGAGTGTGAGACTGTGGTCGCGTCCACTCCTGCAGCGGCCTCCTGCCTCTCTCCCTTTCTTGATGGCATCATTGTCTCTCCCGCGCCGCTGCCCCAAGTGACAGCTCCCGCTTTGGCCCGCGCGCCGTGGCGGCGGCTCCAGGACCCGGTGGCACAGCCTTCCTCGTCACCAGATTCTCGGCTGAACCATCTGAACTTTTCACGAAGTTCTTAGAGGGGCAGGACGCGAAGGAATTAGGGAGATGTTTGCTCCTGCCGCCTGCAGCCCGCTTCTTCTTTGCCACTGTTTTATTTCCCGGGAGGCGGGAGAGTGGGGTCGTCTGGTAGAGAAAACCGCAGACCTGGTCCCCCCCTCCTTCCCAACTGTCCCTGCACGTGTGTTACCCCCACTTGATGCTTGTTCAAGGCGAGGAACTGGAGTGGACTGCTTGTATATTTCGTTGTTAGAATCTGCAGGGTGTATTGGATTTTTATTTTTCCCTCCCAATCTGACGTGTGTCAAGAAATAAAGGCCGGCTACAGGTCCATGACGTCATTCTGCAGGCCAGTAAATGTTTGATTAACAGCTTCAGATACTGAAGGGTTGGGGACTCAAAATGCTGACAAAGCATCTCTGCCTTTCCCTCTCCAACCCCAACAGAGTGAAACAATTGCCGGTTCCCCGGGCATCTTTATCACCTCCTTCACCCGGACGCCTTCTTGTCCACCCCTCCCCCGCCCACATCGTTATCACCCCGGCCCCGCCTCCGCCTTTTACAGCTTGCCCTAGGGCGATCACAGTCCCTAGAGTGTGGGTAAGAGCTTCTGGTGGCTAAGGCGAGAGCAGTACCTGATCAACGCAGGCAATCTGCCCTTTTCTATTATTTAAGAAAAGACACCAGTGCGTCCCTTCCCCAGGGCGAAAGCGCTCAGCTCTGATAGAAAAGACGTATCGGGAAATGTTTGGAGAGGTTGCGAATTATGATACTGTACCGTGTCCCCCTGGTGATTTAGGCAAACAGTACACCCTCTGCAAACAAAGTCCTTAATTTTGCAAGCGCCTTCCTCGAACGGTTTAGCTAAAGAGGGAAGATGAAGAGGTGAGAGGATGCTGACTACATCAAATTTAGCTGAAAGGCTCAAGATTAAACGTTTCATTTAAGGAGTAAGGGAACAGTAGTAGTTGAACCCAAAGTAGCAGACAATAAATTGGTGCGTGTTTACTTTCTTGTTCTTCACTGTAAGTTTCTGTATTTAAGGAGGAAGTTAAATATTCAACTCATTGAATTGAGTCAGACTCTCCGCATCTGGCAGCTGAAGTAAAAACACTGTGTGACATGTCTAAGGGACAGAAGTACAAATAACGAGGGGGTGGGGAGGAGAGGGTGTAGCAAAAATCAAATAAAAAAATGAACTAGCTGGGTGAATGGAGGGGAGTAGAGGATTTGGGGGCTCTTGATTTGGAGTTGGTGAAAGCTAAATAAAGGAAGAATTATATGTGGGAATTTCTTGAAGAACATGTGTTGTTTTTTTTTTTTTATAATCAGATCTACTGTCTTCAAAGTGAAAGCTATGATGTGGAGTAGGCATTTGTGAAACTCCTCACTATGGTCTAATTGACATCCTTGCTCAAGTTTTCGGCAGTATTATTTATTATTTATTCACGTCTAGAGATGAAATTGAATAACCCCACACAAAATGTGTGCATCAAAATGTTAAACGTCTTGTTTGTGATGCAGAGACCTAAAGGGAAAAAAAAATGGCCTGGGTCACCAGCATTGGAGAGTGTGATTAATGATCAGTGATTTAGTGATCAGTGATTAGTGGTTTTATTCAAACTGTTACCTCTGACCAGAAGCACACATCAGAGGATTAACAGGCTCTTTAGATAAATGCTCATTAGTGGAAGGGGAAAAGCAAAGATAATAGGCATGCACCCAGGGACAACTTTCGAAGAAAATCATTCCCGTCTTCAGAATAATAAGCTCTATTAACAGAAAGCTCTTTTAATTTAAAACTTGCTTTTATCTTGTAAATCAAAGTTAGATGTAAAAGTTTGTAGTGCCATTATAACCTAAATTTTCCCATATCGACTAGATGTGGATTATCTCAGTAGCGATTTTTTTTTATTTAAATAAACAATTGAACCTTTAGAGCAGCTGAGCCCTGACAAGTTCTTAACTCCCAGGGTCTGAAGGTGTCCCCCCTTCTAGGATGGAGAGTGCAACTTGCTAACTAGATGGCGCACTGCCATTCGGTGTTTTATGCCTGTGCTGCCGGAGCCCAAAGGAGCAAGTAGCTGCTTGCGAGGTGTTCTTCAACACTTACAACAAAGTTGATTCTGTGTGGGGTTGGAGGCTAGACTGTTCTACAAGTTTTTAGTCACATTTTCCATGTCAGTTAAATCTAGGGAGTTCAGGCTACTGGAAAAATTAGTCTCATTACTAAAAGAAACGTAGAGACTGAAGGAGGAGAGGAGGTACAGAGCTCAGGAGGTCCCTCTGGGTTGCAGGAGTGATTGTAAAATACCAGACCTGTTCTTTTTTGCTAAGAGCTAGTTTCACAGTCTTGTGGTCTGAAATACTGAGGCAAATACTCAAAGATTTATTTTTTTCCTAATCTTGCTGGTGAAAGGAAGTTGCTAGAAAGAAAGAGAGAAAACTCTTGATTTGGTGACTGCAGGAAGCAACACGTTGCTGATTTCATTCTACAGATAATGGTAAGATGATGTTTATTACACTTAATAAGCAGAAAGGAAATTTGCAGTTGGTGAAATGAGACCAATCTTATATTTTCATGGATGGAATTTTGAAATGGAATATTTTTGCACTGAAATTTAGTGTTGTTTTTGTCAGTTTCCTGGGACTTGGTAGCATTTTGTGTGGAAAGGTATGTGTGTGTGTGTGTGGTGTGTTTGTGTGTATGTGTGTTTGTGAATAGACCATTATTTTCTGGGTAAAATAATGTTCATGAGCATGTGAACTGCAGTGGGGGAGCTATGAAGCATGTTAAATAATGTGTAAGGTAAGACTCCCTTTTGCATGAGCTTCTTGAGTCACTTTAGTAAGAACTGCAGTTCTTACTAAACAAGTAAGGAGTTTTTAAAAAGAAAGCTAAAGTTAAAAATAAAACAAATAACAAAAAACATTGTCCACATCCAGACCTAGATATATGTCTCCTGAGAAACAATGGTATTGAATATTAGCTATTTAGTGTTAAAACTTAAAAAGAAAACAAAAAGGAACTCATTTGTGCCTCCCTATAGATTTTCTCATTTTTCTTTGCTTGTAACATTTTATGTGGATCTGTTTGTGATTTTAAAATCCTGATCAATTCCTAGCCATTTTTAATTTTCAACTTTACTCTAAGTAAATTTGTTTGCTCAACAGATATCTTTGAGACAACTATTTTTGAATGTAAATTGCTGATATCCATAAATTGCATGTCAATGGAAGTCAGTTGTGACTTTACATTGTTTATATATGGTCAGATAGGTTTTTAGAACATTCCCACAAAATAGTAGAAACAGCATGGTAGAAATTAGGCTGTTGTTTCTATAGATCCATGATGTTGCAACTTTTATTTGAATACATGGCTAAATGAATGGTAGTTTGTCAGACACTTTTCCTATATAGTTCTTCGATTACACTAAAGTTGAAGATTTTCGTTACAACTATTTGTCCGTTTCCTACATCCGCAGATTCAAAACCAAACAATCAATCACGACTCTCCATGGCTATTTGTATGGTTGTCAAACTTATGGTCTCCTATTTTCTTACTATAATTTGCTTTTTAGCAACAATGCCTCACTAGCCTATACAGTATTGGCTTAGTGTAAGAGTTTACTTCTTATTGAGCTGAAAATTATTTTATGGGAGTGTTGTGTTCCCTAGATCCCAAATTGTGAACTTTGTATTTGTAGTTGGCTTAATTCTGGTTGTGTTGCTAGGTTAAAATTGGGGATTTGAGTGGATTTATTATTTTTGCCATCTTTTCTTTTTGCTTCTTCAAAGCAATGCCAGTAGTCACAAAATTAATGTGATCATGGCTGGTGTTTCCCATCTATATGCTCCTTTTGCTTCTTACAAATTGGATTTCTACAGCAATTTAAGATCTTTTTTTAGAGGCAGCTTTCTTGGATGAAGATGGAACAATGATCTCAGTCAATTCATTATCTTGTCCAGTTTGACTACCAG